ATGGGTGTCCCTGTTACCTGTTACCGGTTACGTTCCAATATCAACATATAATTAAAAAGATTGACGATTGATTTGATGCTTTTTTTCTATTTCAAAATCACCTCTCTTGACTGCAAACTTTGCTGCCTTCATATATTTTATAAATAACTACGGATAGATTTACACTATATCGTGGAATACAAAGATAAAATATTATAAATATAGTTTAATTTGTATTTCTAAACCATCTTATTCCTCTCTTTGACTGTAAACACTGCCACCTTCATGTATTTGATCCATCAATACGGATATAATTAGTACTAGATTTCCTGATCAGGATGTCCCTGCTCAGGACCGTTAACGCTCACAGCTTAAGTTATAAACTATACGGCATATAACCATTCTTATAAGTCGTGGTTCTATTTCCTCAATTAATACAACCATTTAAATGACCTTATACACTGAACATTATCTTCCTTTAGTTTATAAATGTATAAATGAAAAATATCTACGCTATTTCCTGATAAGAATGTCCCAGATGAGGACCGTATACACTATAAAATGTAGTTATAAGATATCCAACTGTTATATCATGCTCTAAGTCCGGACGAGTTATCCTATCTTGACGGTCCTCACCAGCCCCGGTCCTGCTCAGCCCCGGTTCCAGTGAGAGACAGCGCAGCTGTCTGACGCCACTCCCCTAACGTCTACATGTTACATTTTGGAATAGCGAGTCGAAATATGAAATCCAAGTGATGAATCTAATGATACTAATTCTATTACTCACTGGAGCTGTGTGGTTTTACGTAAAGACTTCTTACGTAATGAATGTGTCCTTTTTGTGTCCTTGTTTTCTTTGTCATGCTACACTTTCGGCAGTATTTCACTCTCTGTAAATATATATGCATGACTACAGAGCTTCGTTTAGTTTATTTAAACATCCACACCTAAACGGTTAAGACGTTTAACTGAGCTGACGATAATACATTATAAGCCCGGGCGGTCACAATATTAAATAACACGCGCGTTTTCAGCTTTATATAATAGCGTATGTTTGAGAAGTAACTAATTTAAAAACATCATAACTGTGCCAATTTTTAACAAATCTCACAATTTCTCAGAAGTTCAACAACAGAAGAGTTTTAGTTGAGCAAATACTGATACTGGTGAAGGCCTGGGCGAACCCGATGTTACAAATGTAAAAGGATTGGGTTTTGAACACTTACTTGTTGTATATATTTCCGTATGTACCTGGGGTATTCCCGTTGGGAATTCCCTTCTGGTATATTATTTAGACGTTTCTGATTGGTTAATATTTTTAGGATATTTTACCTTACCTGTACAGCACTCTACGCTCAGGAATGGGTCAGTATCGAGTTCAAATACTACATTCCACGTGTATTTCAAATACTACATGGCACGTGCATTTCAAGGCATACAATTAAATTTGGCTATATAGCTGGGTGTTTTTGGTATTGTAAATCAGTCTGGCAGAGGCTTACATGTAGCTGGCCGGCTCGTCTTTACCCTTCTTACGGGCAGGGATGTAGGAGTATATTTAGGCCTTAGACCTCAACATTATTCCGGGCTGGGTGGTATGTTCCCATTGTAGGCATGTTTGGGTAGAATTATCTCGGTGTTGATTTGGGATGGTTATTTTCCCGTTGTAGGCATGTTGCAATACATTATCAGGGTGTGTTTAAACTTATTCCCCGGCAATGTCAACTTTGCCCCAGAAGTAAATACACCATTGTCGACCAAAATCTCCATTTGAGAGGGTATAGATCAACAGAATAATACCCCGGTACGTCCACGGACCACAGATATGTGGTACACACCACAGTCTAGTCGGCACGTGCACGATAGGCCAAGGTCACAAGTTGTGTATTCAACTGTTGAGAGGTCGTCTCCAAACGGTACTTACTCATACCTAGTACATGTAGATATTGAGTCCGGCACAGGTGGGCACTAAGGGCTATTTCAAACTAGTACCCCTTACCTTAGTTATACCCAGGAGCATCCAGAATGCTGTGGGCCACCATTTCCTAATTTGAATTTCTCTAATGTAACTAGTTCAAATACAAATCATTTAGATCAGACTAGACCACAAATGGGCTCTAGTTATTTGTTGGTAGCACAGACTTTAGGGAGTATAGTTTTCATTTCGAGCAAGTAGCAGGGTGGAATAGATGGACTGATTGGGGAAAAGCGCAACAACTAATGATGTCTTTATCTGATTTGACATTGCGGAGGAACCTGGTCAGCCGTCTCAGGAAAACACAGGCGGAACTATCCAGATACCTGGAGGCTGAGGAAAGCTCGGCCATGGATTTGGGAAGAACCGCCAGAGTTTCCCGGGATCAGGAGGTCACACCTGACGGGATGATTCGCGATAGTGCGCGATGGTATCGGAACGCGGACGCGGGATCGCGGGACACCCCACAGGATGTAGACTTCTCCCTATTTCCAGAGCACACAGAATTAACTTATTTTTTTACTAGTGTGTGAGGGGGTGGACAAGTTTTACATGTACTTGTAAATATTCATTGTACATTGACATCATTACTCTTTCTGTTATAATTTTTCATGTTTCTAGGAATTATTTTTGGTATTAAGTTGCTGTTCACATTTCTAGCTTGTGTAGTAAGGAGCCAGGGAAATGCTGTCCACTTATGTGGAGGGGTTATGTGTATTTTTGGTGAGGAATGGAGATATATCGGAATTGATTTTGTTTTTCATGTGCTGTTACTTTAGTGTAAGCAGCCTAATACTTAAGTATTTGGGGCTGATCACAGTTCACCTGCTGTGTATAACACTACATGTAAAGATAAATATCAGGGTTTATAAAGAAGACAAGGTCCGAGGGATAATTCCATAACCAAGAAATATACATGAAGGTCTTTGGATCTAGAGCATTTGGCTTGAGGGCTGCACATCTGGTAATATTTGTGACTGGTTTTTTTTTCTATGATAATGTTTTTTTCTATGATCAAAGTGTTTACCTATAAGTGCACTTTTAATGTGGGTTGATTAACAGGTATTAACGTTTGTTTTTTGGTACAAGATGATTACATTGTCATTGTTGATAAATCATCTTGTGATGCTGTTGTCATGGTACAACTGCTGTAATGATTGTAAACTTTCAATTTTTTTTTCGAATGTTCTCGTACCATGGACGTATGGTTTCACCTAATGTGGTATGATTTTGTGTTTCAAAACGATTGGATAGTGGTACATACCAAATGAGGACATTTGTCTCTTTTTAAGGGAAGGCGAATGTAAAAGGATTGGGTTTTGAACACTTACTTGTTGTATATATTTCCGTATTTACGTTTCGTGTAACGGAGTGCGTGTACCTGGGGTATTCCCGTTGGGGATTACCTTCCGGTATATCATTTAGACGTTTCTGATTGGTAAATATTTTTAGGATATGTTACCCTACCTGTACAGCACTCTACGCTCAGGAATGGGTCAGTATCGAGTGCAAATACTACATTGCACGTGTATTTCAAATACTACATGGCACGTGCATTGCAAGGCATACAATTAAATTTGGCTAAATAGCTGGGTGTTTTTGGTTATTGTAAATCAGTCTGGCAGAGGCTTACATGTAGCTGGCCGGCTCGTCTTTACCCTTCTTACGGGCAGGTATGTAGGAGTATATTTCGGCCTTAGACCTCAACATTATTCCGGGCTGGGTGGTATTTTCCCATTGTAGGCATGTTTGGGTAGAATTATCTCGGTGTTGATTTGGGATGGTTATTTTCCCGTTGTAGGCATGTTGTAATACATTATCGGGGTGTGTTTAAACTTATTCCCCGGGGTGGGATACCGGGTGGACATTTTGGAGAGGACATATTTTACACGGTATACTGTTTTAGTATGGACCGGTCGAGTGGTTGACGTGCTGTAGCATTGGGTATATCTATTCATCATGTTTAAATTTACTTCACTGTTTCGTTTGGTACATAATAAATTGTAGAACTTTATAAAACGTGTTGTCATTCATTGACCTGTAGCCAGCTGAAGTTAAGTCAAGACAGAACCACAGAGTTGACGAAAGAAAAATCACTATACGAGGGCAAAACTTTTACACAAATAACACTCATGATTTCAGCTTAATCGTACGGTTGAGAAGTAACTAGTTTCAAAACAACATAACTATGCCAAAAATTAACGTGTTCTCCTATTTTTTCACTGGTGATGATGCTCGGGCGCTCCCGATATTGCAAATAACAAGTAGTGTATGGTTGAGGAATTTATAATTTCAAAACACTGTCACTCCGCCAATAATTAACATATTATAACATTTTTGTCAGCATTGTGTTAGTAACACACACATCTTAACATATACAGGGTTTTTATTGACTTAACGATAAAGATGAAAGCCCGGGCGGTCCCGATGCTGCAAATAACACGCGTTATATGAGCTTCAGCGTAATGTAGCGAAGTATCTAAAGTTAGATCAGCATAAATCTTTTTATGATTAAGATATTTCTCATTCATTAAATAACCCGAGTAAAGTACTTAGATTAAATTAACTTTACAGGGTAACGCCCGGACAGTCCTAATATTGTAAATAACAAGTCATGCAGTGTTGGTTAATTTCAAATTACAATAACTTGGCTAATTATGAACATAATTTGACATTTTCTTCAGTTTTGTATTTTTCGTTCCTAAAGCTATAAGAATAAGTTGTTTCAGTACAGTTTACTACACAGGTGAAAGCCCGGGCGGTGTTTGTATTACAAATAACAAACGTCTCGCTCTACTCCAGTGGGTTGTTGCGATGTAACTAAGTTGAAATAACCATAACTTGGTCAAATTTAATGATTTTTTTCTTGATCACTACATTCATACTGTTACAAACAATGCAAAAAACACCATCATAATGATGCATAAGTGGAGACAAACGCCCGGGCGGTCAATGTATCACTACCGGGCTGTCCCGGACTGTGCCGGGCTCTACCGGGCTATGCCGGGCTCTACCGGGCTGTAATTATTAGTACCGCTCTGTCGGGCTGTAATTAAGATCACCCGCATCAAAAAGCTACAGATCTACTTCCGGGTAGGATAACTTCCTAACTGTGATAGCCAGGTAACAGTGAGGTACACACTACACAGCACGGTACCGGGTATCCGGACAGACCTTCGTCTTTATCATATCCTCATCCTCACATTCATCTAAATACTCGTCTTTGTTACGACTGGATTATAACAGGTTCAGAACATCATGGTCCTCTCACATCGGGCGACAGATTTGTGATTAATGTACACTACAGGTAAGGCATTTTAAACGCAATTAAAAAATGGCATCAAAATGGCATGTTTATATTCACAGACCGAGACAGAGGTACAACAACGTGGCAAAAAATACAACATTTGTGGAATATTGGATCAACTTAACATGCAATGTCACCGTTGTATTTTTAGCTCACTGAGCTTATGCCATACCGCAGCGTCCGTCCGTCAACTTTTCCTTTAAAACGCTACTTGTCCTGAACGGTCTAGTAGATTTTGGCCAAATTTGGGCAGAAGAATCCTTTGGGGAAGGGGAACACTTTTTGTATAAATGGTGGGTCTGGCCCCCAGGGGGCTGAGGGGCGGGACCCAATAGGGGAAATATAGCAAATTCTTTAAAATCCTTCTTATTCTGTAGGAATGAAAGGATTTGTTCCATATTTGGTCAGGAACATTCTTGGGGGAAGGGGAACACATTTTGTATAAATGGTGGGTCTAGCTCCCCAGGGGGCTGAGGGGCAGGGCCCAATAGGTGAAACATAGCAAATTCTTTAAAATCCTTCTTCTTCTGTAGGAATGAAAGGATTTGTTCCATATTTGGTCTGAAGCATCCTTGGGTGAAGGGGAACCAATTTTGTATAAACCATGGGTCTGATCCCCCAGGGGGCTGAGGGGCGGGGCCAAATAGGGAAAACATAGCAAATTATTTAAAATCCTTCTTATTCTGTAGGAATGAAAGGATTTGTTCCATATTTGGTTACAGTTGTGGGATCGCACAACGTTACACAATGTGCGATGTGTGCACGGTGTGTGGACGGTGTGTGCACGACGGGCGAACGATAAAAAGCTAGACGATCATTGCTTGTGCGCATGATGGACGGACGTTGTGCGATAACAATCGTGGTTGGTGTAAATTGAGGAATGCCTTAACAATTTATACGGTTTCCTATTTAAACATATAAACTTGATATTTACGTAGGTTTCTATAGTCTAGCAACATCTATAAACTTATCTTTCTGTCTATACATTCTTATATTTAGAAATTGTGTTTTCTGTGTTTTAAAAAACCCTTAATCGACACATGTAAAATTACAACACAATCCCGTATACAGGTAAACATAACCACTATGTACATGTACCTGGACCGTAGTTTTCTCCCCGCCTGGGGCACTTACGTAACTCGTCCAGTAAGGCCGGGTGTGTGAAAATCCAGGTGAAGGGGAGCTATAGGCAAACGAATGCAAATAACAAATACTATTCATTACGATCAAACGGTATCGCATATCAGCTCTGTGGGTCAGGCACTGGTCAGGTAAAACTCCGGAAACTCATCAAATTGTTATTTACCTGTTCTGTTACCTTGGAGCCAAACCCATTCTTGACAGCCTAACGGTCGCTGTAATACTGTGTAACACGCATTGTGAAATTGTATAATCTTGATTATTGTGATGAGAAATTACATATATACACAGTGTACATTATCTCAAACAAGCCTTCCGTATTTTTGTCATTCCGTAATTTTGATCTACAAATGATACCAAATCGCACAGTTGTGCGGAGAGAAGCGTACAACGGGGCGAACGATTGCCAAATCGCACAGTTGTGTGCACCATGTGTGGACGATGTGCGGACGGTGTGTGAACGATGTATGCACGGTGTGCGCACGCTATTTTTGGTGCGTTGTGCGGTCCCACAACTGTAAAAACATTTTTGGGTGAAGGGGAACAAATTTTGTATAAACGGTGGGTCTGGCCCCCCTGGGGGCTGAGGGGTGGGACCAAATAGGGGAAATATAGCAAATTCTTTAAAATCCTTCTTATTCCTTAGGAATGAAAGGATTTGTTCCACATTTGGTCAGAAGCATCCTTGGGTAAAGGGGAACCAATTTTGTATAAACGGTGTGTCTGCCCCCCCCCCCCCCCCCCCCCCCCCTGGGGGCTGAGGAGCGGGGCTCAATAGGGGAAATATAGCAAATTCTTTAAAATCCTTTTTCTGTAGGAATGAAAGGATTTGTTCTATATTTGGTCTGAAGCATCCTTGGATGAAGGGGAACCAATTTTGTATAAACCGTGGGTCTGTCCCCCCAGAAGCCTGAGGGGTGGGGCCCAATAGGGGAAACATAGCAAATTATTCTTTAAAATCCTTCTTCTTTAGGAATGAAAGGATTTGGTCCATATTTGGTGTAGAGCATCCTTGGGTAAAGGGGAACCAATTTTGTATAAACGGTGGGTGTGGCTTCCCTGGGACCTGAGGGACGGGGCCCAATAGGGGAAATAGAGGTAAAAACCTTTATAACCCTTCTTCTACCATAGTGACTAAGGGATTTTATCCTAATTTAATCTGGAGCATCCTTGGGCCAAGGGGACTCAATTTTGTATAAGCAGTGGGTGTCCCCCCTGGGGGCAGAAGGGAGGAGGGGCCCAATAGGGGAAACCTTTTTCATATTCTTCAAAATCCTTCTTCTTTTGTAGAAATGACAGGATTTTGTCCATATTTAGTATGAAGCATCCTTGGGTGAAGGGAAACCAACTTTGTATAAATAGTTCCCTAATAGTTCGCCCCAAAAAACCATAGCACCCCATCTAGCTCGCCCCAAAAATTGTATTTATGCAATGCATAAAGTAATTTATATTATTTGGTTAGTTTATGATATTTGTATTTGTTATATTTTGTTGGTTCCGGATGGAGGATAACTTACTGTTTTTTAAACTATTCCATCCCTATAGAAGTAGTCACGTGATGTTTTGGTGTACTAAAGTCACGTGACCTGTGCAGAATTTTTTTCCACGCTGACATTTTGAAAAATCTCCTTAAAAAATGAGTTACCCTCCTCCTCCTCCCCTAATTTGTATCCACCTTTATGTACTATTGTGTAAATATGTAATTGTTGCACATCTTTGTTCTTAATTTTGGTTCATTTGTTATACATCTTTTAATTACAATTGGCGTTTATTTTGAAGCAAGCCACATCTTTTTTGGTTCTTTGTACACCTTATTATAAAAATCGATACAAGATGTATACATATGTTCGATTTCTGGCATTTAGAATAAATGCTCATTTTCGACAATTAAAGTGTTTGTTATTTTATCAACAAAAAACATTGCAGAGTATAACCTGTGTGTGCTGTTGGATTTAGTACAGACTAAACACGATAATATAAAATATAATAACACCCCCCCCCCCCCTTCTAAAAGTAGGACCTTGCTTATTTTCCCATTATAACGTGATTGTGTTTACCGTGCTAAGGGGAATAACTCTTGTTTCGTGTATACAACGGAAAGGTCGGCGCATCAAATATATACACATATATTATTTTAGTTTTGCAAAGCCGGAATTGTAAAAGTGATATGTTTCCTTTAATGTTCGTTTTCAGTTTATGTTTCCATAAGATGTGACTTACGGAAATGCAGCATTGTGTACATTCTTTTATCATACACCGACGCGTGTGATTTTAAAATAAATAACAAATCCATGTTTTCATTTGTTGTATGTTAAGTGCTATTATAAAGAACATATTTCTTTTAGTTATGTGTGCACCTTGTCATCAAACTTTGATGCCTGTAGCTATTAAACAAAAACCAAAGCCATATATTGACGATCTGTAGTAAATAACTTATATCAGAGGGGCAATTATTTTCCTGGTTCCTTTACATTTTGTGTCGCCGCATTGGTGGTAGGTGTTATTAAAATAACAACGTTAGGAAAATTTATCCACAAAAATATTAAGTGATGTATTCTGTATTGTGTATATATCTTAATGTTATATTATGTTGTATCATTTGTTAAAATAAGTTGTTGTTGTTGTAAGTAATTAATAATTATCTGTCTCTATATATATATATATATATTTGTACAATAATATTCAAGTATATGTAAAAGATAATTAGATTATTTCCACGCTTGCCATAGATAGTTAACGCATCATATCTATAATATCTATGTTAGGCATGTATTTATATATTTAAGATGATATATATGTTTAAGATAATCAGATTATTCGAAACAAGAAATGTACTATTGATATTGACAAGGAAATAGTCACAGCTCTAAAATTAAAAGAGTTTCCTCCCAATAACTGCCTTTTATAGTTCAATATAGGTTCGTAGCGGTTGGGGCGATACAGATTTTTTGGGGCAATATAGCTTATGGGGCGAAACGGATTTTGAGGCGAAAAGAAATTTTGGGGCGATATGGTTGTCTAACTTGGGGCGAACTGCACTGAAAATTAGGGCGATGTGAAAAAAAAATTGGGGCGAACTGGTTTGGGGCGAACCTGACATTTGACAAGATCTTACAGTAACAGCTAAGGAATACGACTGGAAAAAACAGGTCACCCTAATGAGTGCCCAGCAGAGAAATGAGTATCTAGCGAGGTTTTCGCGTGCCTAGCAATTTGTTAAATCACTTTTGTAATTATTTTTTCAGATTTATACAGTAAATGCCATCACCTAACTATATACAGATTTATACAGTAAATGCCATCACCTAACTATATACATTATACAGTAAATGTCTGCTTGTGATCATGTACATCTTGTAGTAATAAATATAAACAGGAGATAAATACATTTAAGCAGTCTCAATGTAACAGTAAATGCAAAATAAATATAGAACAATAAAACACCTAATACTAATCTAACTGAGCACTCCTGCTACTGTATAATCGCTCAGAGCGTGTATATATACACACACACGGCCGATCGCTCGCTGACCTCTCGCTGACCTCTCGCTGCTGGCCACAGCAACACACACAGGTCTCGACCACACTACCTGTACTCTGGTGATAGCCCAGATAGCTCAGTACGGCCGATGTCTCGCTACAATGATAATTTGACACACTACCTGTACTCTGGCGATAGCCCGGATAGCTCAGTACGGCCGATGTCTCGCTACAATTATAATTTGACACACTACCTGTACTCTGGTGATAGCCTGGATAGCTCAGTACGGCCGATGTCTCGCTACAATGAAAATTTGACACACTACCTGTACTCTGGCGATAGCCCGGATAGCTCAGTACGGCCGATGTCTTGCTACAATGATAGCTCCACCACACTAACCTGTACTCTAGCGATAGCCTGGATAGCTCAGTACGGCCGATGTCTCGCTACAATCATAGCTCCACCACACTACCTGTACTCTGGCGATAGCCCGGATAGCTCAGTACGGCCAATGTCTTGCTACAATGATAGCTCCACCACACTAGCCTGTACTCTAGCGATAGCCTGGATAGCTCAGTACGGCCGATGTCTTGCTACAACGATACCTCCACCACACTAACCTGTACTCTGGCGATAGCCCGGATAGCTCAGTACGTCCGATGTCTTGCTACAACGATAGCTCCACCACCCTAACCTCTACTCTGGCGATAGCCCGGATAGCTCAGGACGGCCGATGTCTCGACAACACTACCTGTACGCGATCTGGCGATAGCCCGGATAGCTCAGTAGGCATATGGCCGATGTCTTGCTACAATGATAGCTCGGCACACTACCTGTACACCTTTACTGTACAATCTGTAGAACTCCTGTTGCTAACCTTGAGTTATTCTGACCCCTCGGTTATCCCTATAACTTCCTATATAGCAATCTAACGAGCTCTCACAGTGCCGTCTTGATTTATCAATGTAGCGGACCCAATTTAAAGCAACACAATACCTCACCCTTGTAAGGTATGATAGTTTCGTTTGAGTGATTGTAATGGGTAACAGTCTTATTCAGACATACCCCATTATTGAAAGCTCGCTCTCTAGTATATACTTACACCTAACAAGTGATGGTCTGCTCTCGTGTAACTTTCGACACAGAATGGCCTGGCTTATATACCTAAAGGCCCCGCTTCTACCTGTCAATCACCTAGGGATTGTCCGCATCACCTATGTGTTTTCAAGGTCACAGGGGTCAAGTATGTAAAAAAACACTTCTCCTAATAACAACAGGGCCTAGAATCATGATATTTGGCTGGTACTGTATGCAAGGTCACAGGGATCAAATATGTCAGAAACTTCAAATAACTTCTTCTAAAGAATGGAAAGACATAGAATCATTATGCTGGTAACTTCCTAGGACAAATCAAAACATAGTTTGCTGATAAAAATAACCTTGACCTGTCAAACGACATGATATTTGTCTGGAAGATTCCTGTGATTGAGCTGAAGAAAGTTCGGAATAAAAGTTATTTTGATTTCTATTCAAGGTCACAGGGGTCAAATATGTCAAATATGCCTAAGCGGCCTCGAGTTTGATTTAGGCAAGCAATTCATTTTTTATTCAACACTTCACACTAAAATGTTAAATGTAAAAAATTCCAGCAAAAACTTATGTTGATATTTTTACGGCAGTCTGTTAAGTGTTGGCTTGAAAGATATATTAAACAAACAATAACTTTACATCCTCACAACAAACAAACGATTACTTTACATCCTCACAACAAATAAATGATTACTTTACATCCTCACAATAAATAAACGATTACTTTACATCCTCACAACAAACAAACGATTACTTTACATCCTCACAATAAACAAACGATTACTTTACATCCTTACAATAAACAAACGATTACTTTAAATCCACACAATAAACAAACGATTGCTTTAAATCCACACAATAAACAAACGATTACTTTAAATCCACACAATAAGCAAACGATTACTTTACATCCTTACAATAAACAAACGATTACTTTAAATCCTCACAATAAACAAACGATTACTTTAAATCCACACAATAAACAAACGATTACTTTAAATCCACACAATAAACAAAGGATTACTTTAAATCCACACAATAAACAAAGGATTACTTTAAATCCACACAAGAAACAAACGATTACTTTACATCCTCACAATAAACAAACGATTACTTTCAATCCACACAATAAACAAACGATTACTTTACATCCTCACACTAAACAAATGATTACTGTACATCCTAACAATAAACCAACGATTACTTAACAATAAACAAACGATTACTTTACATCCTCGCAACAAACAAACGATTACTTAAATCCTTACAATAAACAAACGATTACTTTACATCCTTACAATAAATAAATGATTACTTTACATCCTCACAATAAACAAACGATTACTTTACATCCTTACAATAAACAAACGATTACTTTAAATCCTCACAATAAACAAACGATTACTGTATATCCTCACATTGAACAAACGATTACTTTACAATAAGCAAACGATTACTTTACATCCTCACAATAAACAAATGATTACTTTACATCCTCACAATAAACAAATGATTACTTTACATTCTTACAATAAACAAATGATTACTTAACATCCTTACAATAAACAAACGATTACTTTACATCCTTACAATAAACAAACGATTACTTAACATCCTTACAATAAACAAATGATTACTTTACATCCTTACCATAAACAAACGATTACTTTACATCCTCACAATAAATAAATGATCACTTTACATCCTCACACAAACGATTACTTTAAATCCCCACAATAAACAAACGATTACTTAACTTCCTTACAATAAACAAACAATTACTTTACAATAAGCAAACGATTACTTTACATCCTCACAATAAACAAACGATTACTTTACATCCTCATAATAAACAAATCATTACTTAACAATACACAAAATCCTGTCTTCTATACTTAATTAATAAAATGTTGTCAGAATTATGAGTGATACAGTTTTATATCTTTTTTCCCCAGAGTTCTCAATGAAACATGAGGTCTAGATAAGAACGTACAATCTTAGCAGGGAACACTAGATAACAAACCATCATTTGGCAGTGGATCTCTATAGCAGGTGTTATCATGGCCATGACAAAGGTGAAGAAACTTCAACAGTGGTGTAAACAAATGGTGGAGGGTTATCCTGAAGTCACAGTCACAGACATGACGTCATCATGGAAAAATGGACTGGCATTCTGTGCTATCATCCATCGGTTCAGGCCAGACCTCATGTGAGTACAGAGGTTCACACAGCTGTCACATTACTTAATATCACCTTAATGTCATATCACTTAATGTCACCTTAATGTCATATCACTTGATGTCATCTTAATGTCATACCACTTTATGTCATTATATTATATCATATCACTAAATGTCGCCTTAATATCATATCACTTAATGTCACCTTAATGTCATATCACTTAATGTCATCTTAATGGCATACCACTTTATGTCATTATATCATATCACTTAATGTCGCCTTAATATCATATCATTTAATGTCACCTTAATGTCATATCACTTAATGACATATCACTTAATGTCACCTTAATGTCATATCACTTAATGACATATCACTTTATGTCACCTTAATGTCATATCACTTAATGTCGCCTTAATATCATATCACTTAATGTCACCTTAATGTCATGTCACTTAATGACATATCACTTAATATCATCTTAATGTCATACCACTTTATATATTTGTTGTAAATGTCTAGTCAATTAATAAACTTACCCATGTAGTAACTGTTATATCATGATAAACAACAGATGTATTTGTTGTAAATGTCAGTCAGTTAAAAAAATTACCCATGTAGTAACTGTTATATCATGATAAACAACAGATGTATTTGTTGTAAATGTCAGTCAGTTAACAAA